ATCAATAAAGACAAACACAGAATTATAAATAACGTAAGACAAATACTGGAAAGGACATTTAAGAAGGGGGTGCCATTAAAAAATATAAAAACAAAGAAAGCCAAAGAAAAGAAAGGACAAAGACATTAAGAATATCAAACAGAAAAAGAATGTAACGGAAAACCCGAGAGTGGGAGGAGACAGCACACTATAAAAGCCAAGAGAGGCACGCAGACAACACACAGACACACACGTTGGGCCAGCCTGAGGAAGGCCTAAACCGGCCGAAACGTCGCGACGGCCCAATGACACACAAGTACATGATTAAAACACAAAACAACAAAAAATAATAATAATAATTATAATAATAACCTACCTACGGGTAATTTTTGGAAACGGGACAAGGACATCATACCAGTCCGTTGGACGATCACAGCCTCTTGGGGCATGCTATGGGGGACCTTGACGCCCGGGATGGGAACAGGTATGGACAGTGCATAGGAGCCCGGCCCCCTTCGGGGACCGGACTCCCAAACTTGATTTCCCCTAACCCGCCAGTGCCGCCTGTCCGCCCGCTTGGGTAGCGCGGGGTTCCCTGAAGGCTCCCTCAGGAGGTTCTTTGGCCACTGGGCTGGGGGTATCCCGACCCCCTCACCAATCCTAACCCTAAAGGACACACAAAAACAATTGGACACAACACATCCTGACCCTAACCACATATAATCTGAATATAAACAATTGGACATTATACAAAAATCAATAAAGACAAACACAGAATTATAAATAACGTAAGACAAATACTGGAAAGGACATTTAAGAAGGGGGTGCCATTAAAAAATATAAAAACAAAGAAAGCCAAAGAAAAGAAAGGACAAAGACATTAAGAATATCAAACAGAAAAAGAATGTAACGGAAAACCCAAGAGTGGGAGGAGACAGCACACTATAAAAGCCAAGAGAGGCACACACACAACACACAGACGCACACGTTGGGCCAGCCTGAGGAAGGCCTAAACCGGCCGAAACGTCGCGACGGCCCAATGACACAGAAGCACAACATTAAAACACAAAACAACAAAAAATAATAATAATAATTATAACAATGACCTACCTACGGGTAATTTTTGGAAACGGGATAGGGACATCATACCAATCCGTTGGACGATCACAGCCTCTTGGGGCATGCTATGGGGGACCTTGACGCCCGGGATGGGAACAGGTATGGACCGTGCATTGGAGCCCGGCCCCCTTCGGGGACCGGACTCCCAAACTTGATTTCCCCTAACCCGCCAGTGCCGCCTGTCCGCCCGCTTGGGTAGCGCGGGGTTCCCTGAAGGCTCCCTCAGGAGGTTCTTTGGCCACTGGGCTGGGGGTATCCCGACCCCCTCACCAATCCTAACCCTAAAGGACACACAAAAACAATTGGACACAACACATCCTGACCCTAACCACATACAATCTGAATATAAACAATTGGACATTATACAAAAATCAATAAAGACAAACACAGAATTATAAATAACGTAAGACAAATACTGGAAAGGACATTTAAAGAAGGGGGTGCCATTAAAAATATAAAAACAAAGAAAGCCAAAGAAAAGAAAGGACAAAAACATTAAGAATATTAAACAGAAAAAGAATGAAACGGAAAACCCGAGAGTGGGAGGAGACAGCACACTATAAAAGCCAAGAGAGGCACGCAGACAACACACAGACACACACGTTGGGCCAGCCTGAGGAAGGCCTAAACCGGCCGAAACGTCGCGACGGCCCAATGACACAGAAGCACAACATTAAAACACAAAACAACAAAAAAATAATAATAATAATTATAACAATGACCTACCTACGGGTAATTTTTGGAAACGGGACAAGGACATCATACCAGTCCGTTGGACGATCACAGCCTCTTGGGGCATGCTATGGGGGACCTTGACGCCCGGGATGGGAACAGGTATGGACCGTGCATTGGAGCCCGGCCCCCTTCGGGGACCGGACTCCCAAACTTGATTTCCCCTAACCCGCCAGTGCCGCCTGTCCGCCCGCTTGGGTAGCGCGGGGTTCCCTGAAGGCTCCCTCAGGAGGTTCTTTGGCCACTGGGCTGGGGGTATCCCGACCCCCTCACCAATCCTAACCCTAAAGGACACAGAAAAACAATTGGACACAACACATCCTGACCCTAACCACATATAATCTGAATATAAACAATTGGACATTATACAAAAATCAATAAAGACAAACACAGAATTATAAATAACGTAAGACAAATACTGGAAAGGACATTTAAGAAGGGGTGCCATTAAAAAATATAAAAACAAAGAAAGCCAAAGAAAAGAAAGGACAAAAACATTAAGAATATTAAACAGAAAAAGAATGAAACGGAAAACCCGAGAGTGGGAGGAGACAGCACACTATAAAAGCCAAGAGAGGCACGCAGACAACACACAGACACACACGTTGGCCAGCCTGAGGAAGGCCTAAACCGGCCGAAACGTCGCGACGGCCCAATGACACACAAGTACATGATTAAAACACAAAACAACAAAAAAATAATAATAATAATTATAACAATGACCTACCTACGGGTAATTTTTGGAAACGGGACAAGGACATCATACCAGTCCGTTGGACGATCATAGCCTCTTGGGGCATGCTATGGGGGACCTTGACGCCCGGGATGGGAACAGGTATGGACAGTGCATAGGAGCCCGGCCCCCTTCGGGGACCGGACTCCCAAACTTGATTTCCCCTAACCCCCTAACCCTAACCCTAACCCTAAACGTCGCGACGGCCCAATGACACAGAACCACATTATTGACACACAAAACAACAAAAAAACAATAATAATTATAATAATAACCTACTTACGGGTTGGAAACGGGACAAGGACATCATACCAGTCCGTTGGACGATCATAGCCTCTTGGGGCATGCTATGGGGACCTTGACGCCCGGGATGGAACAGGTATGGACAGTGCATTGGAGCCGGCCCCTTCGGGACCGGACTCCCAACTTGATCTCCCTAACCCTACCCTAAGTATGTAAATGAAGGGCACCATATACATGGGAGTGCCAAAAGTGCTATCTCAGGGCCTCTGGGGCAAGCTGGTCACTTCTCAAGGACAGAAGGAGGAGGACTGAGACGGGAAGGAGATGGGACTGAGCATGACGTGCGGTGGCCGTGCATTCCCAGTGCCCTCCATCCAACCACCAGTCGTCGGACGAAGTGGGGAGGGATCATTGCGTTTTCTTTCACAAACCCTGACCCAGGATCAGTTGCCCTAAACATAACCCGTGAGGGTGGGAGCCCTAACCTTAATTTTAAGATGGGCTATGCTTAAATGTCATGAACAATCATGTAAGCCTTTCACTGGCTGCCAGGCAGGTCCTCAGAAGAGGGTGGAATTCCTTCCCTCCTCCTCCTTCTTTTAACTTGATCTTAATAAAGGTTTTAATTGAGGATATATTGTTTTAAACAGCTTTTATTTTATTTTTTAGAATTTACATCTGTCCTTTTTCTCATGTGTTTTGAAATGTATTTTATAGCCTGTGGATAATGGAACGTACATGATTAAGAAAGTGATTGTGAATGCACCATGGGAGGAACACGATCATGTGACCCGGTGCGACCTATCCTGAGGGGGGCCCACACAGGTGGGCGTCCCTCAGACAATCATTTAAGCTACTGTTTTGTCTCTCCTGGCCTCACTTGCGCTGTTCCCTCTGAAGAAGCGAGAGTATCGCGAAACGTAAGGGATGCCTCTCAGACCGGCATGAGCAAGGATTTTTACCTCCCCCAGAACAAGGTGATTGAGATCTTAATAGCCTTTTTTAGCCTTAGTTTTTAGTGGGAGTGAAACGCACTTTGTTCTCCCATTGAAGGCTAAATTGGATAATTGAACCAGGGAGTGAGGAACTTACGCTTCCCACTTTTATTTAAACCTTTTTAAACGCAAATCAGCGGGAATAAGCAAGTTAGCCCTCCCGACTGAGAGTTTTAATATAGAGTTGGGAATAAGCAAGTCTAGCCCTCCCTACTCATATTTCTTAAAGGTTTTTTTAGTGGGATGAAGCAGAATTAGCCCTCCCGGTTTTTAAGATTAACCTCTGGGGGAGAGGAGGAGAGATTTTTATTATTTTTTTAGCCCTTTTAATTTTCTGGATTTTAAGAGGGGAACTCCAATGTTTTTTTACCTGTAATATATTCTGAATGGCATAAAGAGTTTGCAGTGTGTGTATGAACCATAGTCAACTACGACCTCCACAAAAACGAGACTGTGTGAAGGAGCAACAGTAAGAAGAGACTTGGTTCAGAGACACTTAAAAAGTACACCACCCTGCTCACAGACCCTGGAACAGCAAATAAAGACTATTCTAACAAGATCCAGTGGAAAGCCTAACCGCAGATGTAAAGGCAGGTGAGTTCCCCGGTAAGACTTTTTAATCTTGGAATCCAGAATGATGAGGGTTTTAGGAGAAGGCTCAAAGACTGGTCTGGGAGGGGAGGTGAGGCCTGGGGGAGACAGGGACATATGTTTTGACGTTCTAATAGAAATTTAAACCAAGTGGGCTGTTAACATATAACACATAGTTTGAATATGGTCAGGTGTTGTTTTAATTTTTATGGTTTGAGGAGAAGGGAGGGAAGGAAAATAATGAGGGTGGGATTAAGTGGATTGTGTTTTAAATAGATCGCTTTATTGAAGAGATTTTTTGGTCTTATTGGTCTCTTTTAACTTTGTTCTTTTTATCTGGCCTGGCTCGACAGGGACATCCACTCCACATGACAGGATATATAGCTACAGCCGAAACAGGCAGTACATTGGGGAGATGATGAGAAATGTCCCAAATTGGGCCAATGCGGTCCACATAGGAGTAAATACTTCATGTGACTGCACAGATCCCCATTCATTTTAATATATCAGTAAAAAGTGAGGCTTGATTTGAGGCGGCGTAGTTTAAAGTAACACTGCTGCCAATGAAACAAATCATATCACATAATCATGTGGAGTCATAGATTAGTTAAAATGGATGCACTTTGGAGCGGGCTGGATAATTTTAAGGAGGAAAAATTAGCTGACCTTAGGACCACCCAGGATGAGGAGAATTTTAATATAAATCTCATCCTGTGGGTTTTTAGTAATTGTTAGCTTCATTGAGCTGGTCTTTTAAATCCACTTTGGACAGCCTGGCGGTCAGTGGAATGGCCTCAGTTTTTATTATAATTCCCTGGGTGAATGTTATTTTTAGCTTAATTATGCAAATTTTAACATTGTGAGAGGGGGAATAGGTTGTGCTTTTAGGTTTTTTAGGTATTATTATTTATGTTTTAGTAATTATTTATGTTTTATAGTAGATCCAACCCAAATAAGGGGATCAAGAAATATACTGATATGTCAGCAGATCTTCCTTAGCCTCCAAAAAATGTACTAACAGGATATGTAAATAAAAGTTTTGAAAAATAATTGATTGTGTTTGCTGGTTTTCATAACAGCTGCATGTATTATTTACTAATTCCAAAAATTAAATTAATTTTTTATATAAATGGGTGAGATTTCCCCTATGGAGGTGTGGGAGGGTCTGTTCACATGTTAGTTTTTAATTTAGCCTATTTTTTATTAAGACCTGAGCACTTTTAGCCATTTCCCTGGATAAGCATAATTAAACAGGGATTATATATTGGAGAGGACAAGCACTTATACAACACTATAAGATCACAAGGAGATTGAGGGTCCAGTCAACCGCTAGGACCGTGCAACCTAGCTCCAAGTGGAGACAACAAAGACACAATCTCCTAATACCTAACCACTAACCCTAACCCCTAACCCCTAACCCCCCCTAACCAGGGGGGTCCCCTAAAAAACAAAAAGAAAAAGAAACAAAGTCACGTAAAAAACCAAGTAGGAAATAAGGAAAGGACATAAAAGGAAGGGGGTGCCAAAATCATAAATATGAATAAAGATCAAAGGACGGGATGTCAAAACAGCAGGGGGTGCCATGAAAAGTAATAATAAGATAAGTAGACAAAGAGAAAGTCACGAAAAAACAAACAGAGAAAGAAAAGTAAGAAACAAAGATAAAGACAAAGAAAGACAAAGAGAAAGTCACGAAAAAGACACAGAGAAAGAAAAGTAAGAAACAAAGATAAAGAGATGAAAAGTAAGAGAAAACATAAGTACAGTAAGACAAGAAAGTCACGTAAAGAAAAACAGTAAGAAAAGCAGTAAGTAAGACAAGAAAGTCACGTAAAGAGAAAAAACAGAAAGAAAAACAAGTAAGACAAAGAAGTCACGTAAAGAGAAAAACAGTAAGAAAAACAGTAAGAAACATAGTAAGACAAGAAAGTCACGTAAAGAGAAAAACAGAAAGAAAAACAAGTAAGACAAAGAAGTCACGTAAAGAGAAACACAGTAAGAAAAACAAGTAAGAAACATAGTAAGACAAGAAAGTCACGTAAAGAGAAACACAGAAAGAAAAACAAGTAAGAATTTTTAAGAAACACAAGTCGGAAACCCAAGAGTGGGAGGAGCTAAGAAAGAGTATAAAAGCCAAGAGAGGCACAGAAGTCAAAACAGACACAAGAGAACACACATTGGGCCAGCCTGAAGAAGGCACAGATATGCCGAAACGTCGCGAGGGCCCAATGATGTACAATGCGCATACACCCAAGATGGGTAATTTTTTGAAACAGGGCAGGGGTATCACCACCCAGCCCCATCGATGGCCCGTGCACCTCAGGCTACCAGCTTGCTGGTGGCCTGATTCTTTTCTAACACCTAACCCTAACCCTAAGAGGCACTACAGCTTAGTTGTTCCCCCCTCCTTTGTCCTCCTGTTTCCCCTCCCTCTCCCCTCCAGAGAGGAGTTAAACAGTTTGATGGCGTGTGGGACAAAGGAGTTTTTAAGTCTGTTAGTTCTTGTCTTGGGGAGAAGCAACCTGTCACTGAACAGACTCTTCTGATTGTTTATGGCCGTGTGCAGAGGATGCCCAGCATTGTTCATAATGTCCATCAGTTTCTTTAATGTCCTTTTCTCTGCCACTGTCACCAGAGTGTCCAGCTTCATGCCGACCACAGAGCTAGCCTTCCTGATCAGTTTCTCCAGCCTGGATGAGTCCCTCTTTGCTGTGCTGCTCCCCCAGCACACCACAGCATAGAAAAGTACTCCAGCAACCACCGACTGGTAAAACATCCTCAGGAGCTTCCTGCAGATGTTAAAAGACCTCAGCCTCCTGAGGAAGTACAGTCGGCTTTGGGCTTTTTTATACAGGTGCTCTGTGTTGCATGACCAGTCCAGTTTATTGTCCACCCACAGCCCGAGGTACTTGTACTTGTTGACCACCTCCACCTCCTCCCCCTCTATCTGAACCGGCAGTGGACCTTCTCTGGACCTCCCGAAGTCCACAAACAGTTCCTTAGTCTTTGAGGTGTTGAGTTGCAGGTGGTTTGTGTGACTCCATGCGACAAAGTTCCTCACCAGACTTCTGTACTCCTCTTCCTGATCATCCCAGATACACCCCATGATGGCCGTGTCATCTGCAAACTTCTGAATGTGGCATAATTCAGAGTTGTAGCAGAAGTCAGAGGTGTACAGGGTGAAGAGAAGAGGGGACAGCACAGTTCCCTGTGGTGCTCCTGTGCTGCTGACCACTGTGTCAGACGTGATGTCCTTCAGCCTGACGTACTGTGGTCTGTCGGTGAGGTAGTCGGAGATCCAAGCCACCAGGCAGGGGTCCACCTCCATCCTGTTCAGTTTTTCCTGAAGCATACAGGGCCGGATGGTATTAAAGGCACTGGAAAAGTCAAGAAACAGGATCCTGACCGTGCCTTTTCCCCCATCCAGGTGTGAGTGGGCTCTGTGTAGGAGGTACAGGATGGCATCCTCCACTCCGACACCCGCCTTGTATGCAAACTGTAGTGGGTCCTGGGCATGTTGTACCTGTGGTCGGAGGAGGTTGAGGAAGAGCCGCTCTAGAGTCTTCATAAGATGTGACGTCAGTGCCACCGGTCGGAAGTCATTCAGCTCATTGGGCCGGTTCTTTTTGGGGACCGGGACGATGCAGGATGTCTTCCATAGGGCGGGCACTCTCCCCAGTCGCAGACTGAGGTTGAAGACTCGTTGTAGCGGCTCCCCAAGTTCAGCAGCACACGCCTTTAGCATCCTAGGACACACCTTGTCTGGGCCTGCTGCCTTTCTGGGGCGAAGCTTCCTCAGTTGCCTCCTGACCTGATCCACTGTGACACTGGGAGATGTTTGGGAGGAGGGGAGGGGGGAGATGTCTTGCTGCTGAGAGAGGGATTCGAGGAGGGGGGTGTCATGGTGTCAGGAAGGGGGGAAGCGAGGGAGGCAGGAGAGTGGGGAGAGGACTCTGTAGTGAAGGTGAGGGTGAGGGTGGGGGGGTTGTGGGCTGGTCAAACCTGTTGAAGAAGTTGTTGAGTTCGTTTGCCTTCTCCACAGTCCCCCCCACTGTGCTTTTCTTGGTGTTGTGGCCTGTGATGGTTTTCACACCATTCCAGACCTCCCTCATATTGTTCCTCTCCAACTTCTGCTCCACCTTCCTCCTGTAGGTGTCCTTTGCTTCCCTCAGGCAGCGTTTCACCTCCCGCTGTGCTGCTTTCATCTCCTCCTTCACTTTGCTCCTGAAAGCCTTCTTCTTCATGTTGAGGTTGAATCCCCTCCAGAGAGCTATGGGAGAAGTATGGCTTTGGGACTGATTTTTATTTTATATAAGTGACATTGCTGATACTTTCAACTATACCACCTTATGGCCTGTGGGAAATAAAGACATTGGGGGACGATTTTATGATTAACAGCACATGAAAGGATGTACAAGATACACCCAAGAAGAGGAGGAGTATGCTGTGGAAGAGGAGAAGAGCCGAGAAAGGGGAAATAGGATGATTCAGCGATTCCTAGGACCGTGCACTGAAGTTTAAACCAAAACAACTAAGTCTTAGTCTCTAAATACCTAACCCCTAACCCTAATCCTACCCTATGAAAGGCAGCAACAAGTTTAATGTTCATAAACCTAAAGTATGTATCAGCAGCAGAATGGAGCTAAAAATAAATGTTGGTTTCAGTTCTATGAAGCTTTGAGTATTTTGCATTAGTAGCACTGCTGTGTGTGTTGCATCATATTGCTGTAACTGTTTATATGCTTTATATATTCTGAGGTAAGTTGATCTATAGTGTTACAACATATTCTATAAGGATGTTATGTGTTTGTAGACTTTCTGCCCAGTTTGACCCATTTAGCAGAAGTCAGCCTGTTTAAGGCTCTGATATCTATTCTGTGTGACTTACAGCAGTTATGACATGGTCTGATTTTCTCACCCAATAAAGGAATATTTCATATATCAGTCTACTCTTCATTCTATCAGACACAGTTTTCACAGCTCGTACATTTTGTTTTCATACATATATGTAAGCATTGAGCCAAATTTAGTAATGCCAACATATTAAATGAACAATATTTCGCTCTTATGTATAACACATCTATATATACACTGTCAAAGATACTCGTCTTTGAGTGACGATTTAAGGTGATAGGACATATAAATAACTGCAACTTGAATCTTTAGTATCATGAACAACATCAGCTAATTGTTATTTACTAACTAATATTAAAATGACTGTTCAGTACAGAAATGAAGCCCAACAATCATGTTTTACAGTCCTGTGGTCTCAGCCTCAGATACTCAATAAATCACACAGAGTTCATGTAGAAACAAATGAACAAAATGTGTTCTCCTTCATTTCTGTCAAACAAAGCTGTATGAAACGTTTCCAGTGGTTTGTATCATGGTTGCTAGGCAACCTGGGCAGCGCGACAAAGGCTAGACCGTCCCATTTCACAAGCCTCGCACTTCCGGCCTTAGCGGTCTTTGAGTACGCCCCTTGAGGACCGTTAAGGCTGCGTACTTTAAGGCTGCAGACCCTGAATTGGGATACAGCCGCAGTTTGTTGCTGTGACTTCACTCTGAGGTAGTGATGGTAAATTTGATTCTTTTTACTGAATCGAGT